ATCGTGGTAGTGCAACGTATAGCTTCGAAACACCAACCACGATGCCACACTTCCACAAGAACCTTCGGGAAAAAAGGCAGAAGTGAGTTACAATGAAAGCCAGGCCTTTCCCGCATCACTTTTTGTGGTGATTTGTCGATGAAGCTAAATTATATTTGCTACAAGAATCGACTATATTACTGATTTCCTTTTATAAGTATGTTGCGAGACTACCAGTAGATTAAATCTGTGAGATGTATTCATTTGAGTTTGTTAAAGTGATCACGACTAACTGTTGAATATTCCTCACAATCAGTTTCATTGAATTTCACAAAATCTTGCTTCCCAGAAGCTATTCTCAACGAGGTATTCTGGATTGGACTGCAATTTCAATCTCACCCCATCCCATCAGCACACCCAGTGGGACTCGAACTCGGGTTGCTGCATTGGAGCCTATGATCTTGACAAGTTACCATTACGCCAGATTGCCACGAGTGCTCTTGGGCTACGGGAGAAAAGTGAGTAGTAAGGAGGCCTTGGCGTTTCATATAACAATTTCTGTGGTGGAATTGTCGATGAAACTAGGCCTTAATTTCTATAGCAATCGACTACATTACTTATTTGGCGTTTATAAGTAGGTTGTCGCGACTACCAGTAGATCTGATATAAGAGGTGTGTTCACAATATTTCGTTTGAGGTATTTTTAAAAGGCCACTTGTGAAACAAGAGATAAGTAATATGGTCGATTAGTATAGCAAATACTACCTTGATTCGTCGACAATCCTACCGCATAAATGTGATATTGATAGGGCCTAGATCTCCTTAAAATGCACTTCTTCTCTATGACCTAAGCCTACTTTTGACAGTGTGGCGTAGTAGTTAACGTGTATATGTTAGATACTGTACTAGAGCAGCCCGTGTTCGAGTCCTGATGGGGTGCAGATGAGGTCTAGGCGTGAGGTGAATGGAAGTTCAGTCGAGTCTGTGAAATTTAGTGGAAAAATTAGCTCTAGCTATTTGATTGTGCTAAAATTCAACCCTCACTCCTTTAAGCATATTGTGAAACAGTTGTTGTTCAACCTTATCTAAAAAATCTTGTTGGCACTGTTTCCGAGGCAATCATTTTCAATTCCGATTAAAATGTGCGAGCTTTTGTCTCTCCTGCCGCGGACAATATCAGAGCAGGCTGTCTTTCTTACAACCACATTTAAGCTAACAAGTTATTTTACGCAAGAAAGCTTAGCACATTTTCATTGGAATCGAAGGGGATTGACTCGGAAGCAGTGTCATTGAGAAGGTTCCAATAAAGCCAATCAACATTTGGCCAATAGGAATCCACTGTTGTCTTCTGCTGGGACCGACCTTCGAATCTCTTAGCCAATTACTTTCACTCTAAATGGCAATAATCTCAACATTGTTTTGTTTTAGCTCCTTACCCTCGTGACAAATTCTCGATTTTCGTGTAAAGTGATGTAATGAGATTTCTCGAAACCCTACTCAAATACGACTAAAGTGATGTAAACATCGACATATTATCCCATTTTTGTTGGCATGATAAGCATATGCTTGTTTTTACCTCAATTTCAGCTATCTCGATGCTATCTCTTTTGGTGGAAGTGGACGAACCAATTTTAATATGAAATGTATTCACCTAATTTCGTTTAAGCTGATGAAAGACTAGTAGAAGAAGAATTTTCCCACAATCATATAAGTTGAGCTGACGTTTTCATTAAATTTTACAAAGCCTTGCTTTCTCAAAAGTTGTTCTCATCCCTCGCATCGGTCTTATCAACACCCTCAGCGGTAGCCGAACTGTGACAGTGCAGAATGAAAGCTTGACACCCCAACCACTCAGTGACACTGCCACACGCGCCTTTTGGGTCAGAGGGCAAATGTGAATTTTCAAGGAAGGCCAGGCCTTTATGCTATATCATATTCTTTTGGTGGAATTGTCGATGAAGCAAACGTATATCTGCTATCACAATCGACTACT